CCCCAAAACCCCAAAACCCCAAAACCCCTTAATGCTAATTTTATGGAAAAAATGGATAAAATTAAAATTTTTTATCAATAATTTATGAGAAATACAGTCATCTTCATCAAATAAGCTTGATTGGCTCTTCATCAAAATAGAAATCTCTAACTTCATTCAAGTATTCCAAACCTTATTTTAGACTTTTAACCATTTCAGCACATGCCTCTCTTTTCTTAACAGTACCTAAATCCTCAACTAAAAGCTCCTTAAGGTCAACTTGGCCATTATATATTTGTTATACTAACTCTCTTTGGGTCTAATTTTTAGTTTTATTTACAAGCATAGCTATGACAGTCTTAGGTACAAGATCATTTAGATTCTTCCTTACTATATTGAAGTAAGATGTTATTAGATTTTTAATAATATGAATCTCCATTTGAGATCTTGGAGAGTTTTAGCTCATCTCCTCTTTAGTAGCTCTAATTGAACTAGGCATGTTAGGTAGATGAACTGGCTTAATATTCTTCTGCATATATTTATTAATTTCAAAATCTTGGTCATTTCTATACTTAGCATATTCAAGTTCCTTAAGATTATTCTCATCCTTATCCTCCTCATCAGAATCAACTCTTGATGGATTCCCACCAAACCAACTGCTAAATAATCCGCCAGAAGTCTGTTTTTATTGTTGTTATTGCTATTTCTTTTTTGAACTTGATTTCGAAGAATCTTCATCATTTACTTCTTCAAAAGATAATTATCTTTCCTCCTAGAATTTTTCTAATTTTGCTTATTATGCTGCATAAGCATTTGGATCGAAAACATTAAAGATTGCGGTAGCTCCTCCCATAAAGTCCGGATGGTAAGTATTAATGTAGCTGTCTTCGATTAAAATCAAGTTTTTTACCATTTGATTGCAAGGGACCAACGATTTAGTCAAAAGTTAGTACATAATTTCTATGATTTTCTTTCTTAAATTTTAGAACCTTGAGAACTCAGGCATGTCAACTTCAGTTACAATTCTTCTCAACTCTTCATATACTAATTAGACGCACTAAAGAGAGGGAGATTCTAATCTTAAAATCTATTGCTTTGAAAGTACTTCAAATGCCATTTCAGGAACAAACAAATTTGGTCTAAGTGAGCTTGCATTTCTAATAGCTGTTTTTAAGTCTTCATCTGTTAGTGCATCAAATGGATCGATATCATTCAGAATTTTATTATAAACTTCATAAAAGATATAACTAAGTCTGCTACCTCCCATCAATTCACTTGCAGTTTCTTTTACGAATTTTCCTTCAATAAACTCTGAGTATTGAGCTGCAAACTTCGCAATAACATTAAGAATTAGTTAACTTTCATTGGAGCTGTCATCTTTAAACAGTTATAGTGCTCTCAGCTCTTTATCTTTTTAGAAAAGCAAGCAAGTAATTTATGACCTTATTTCTGGTAAGTTCTTCTTAATATGGCTGACTATTATCATGTTTAGATTGTGAGCAAGATAATTAACTCCTAATCTGGATGAATAAGGGTAGTATACTGAGCTTGTTTTGAAAAATTTTTCTTCACTCTTTAAAGCATCTTCGATGGTTTTTTAATTTAAAATGTCCTTCTAAGATCTACAGACAACACCAACATAGCCAAGCTTCAATGGATATACCTTTCCAGATAATAGATCGAGTGCATTAGTTCCTTCATCCATTAAGTCGATTTTAGTAATTACTCCAATTGTTCTTTCACCTAATGGATCAACTCTTCTCGCCATCTTCAATGCATCAGAATTAGCCAGATCCACATTTGCAGCACAAACTGCCATAATGATTGCTGTTTTGGGTGTAATAAACTTATTTATCAAATCAGCAATTCTAAGCTCTATGTCGTGAGGTTGATCTCCAGTAGGAATTTTTGTAATTCCTGGCAAATCAACAAGTGTCAAGTCTACTACGCTTCTTGAATAGATTTTAAGTAAAATCGGAGTAGGAGAGATGTCTTTATTTGTACCACAAAGTTTATTCGTGTCCATATCAATTTCTTCTTTAACTTTTGAGAAATCAAAGTACTTTTCATTCGGTCTATGTGTAAATTCAGCCCAGGCTTTATCTGCGTAAGGAGTATGAGTTAGTTATATGATGATCGGTCTTCTTGTAACTATGTTTGTTCCTCGAGGTAGGAAATCTAATCCAACAATACTTTCCAAAACACTACTCTTTCCTGATGATTAGCCGCCTACTACTACAATCTAAGGCAAGTTCACTGAAAACTATACTTTGGTCCGTGAAAACACTTCCTAAAGCTTGTTTATTAATGGTATGAGTTTCTCCATTTGTGCTATATCTAAAATTATGGTTTATTAATTATATTCTATTCCCTTATTGATCAATTATGATTTCTGATAAATATCCTCTCATGGGGTTTTGGGGTTTTGGGGTTTTGGGG